AGTTTTGCCCTACTGATTCTCTGCCCCATCCTGCTGAGGGTGGGAATAAGTGAGTGAGTGCCTGGGTCTGGCTTCACAACTTGTTTCCAGGAATCTAGCCACCTCTGACTTTCCCATGAGTAGGAGGATCTGGTTCACAACAGCACACCTGGAAATCCTGGTGTCTTTGCCTTTGAATTAAGGACAGAATCTGTCCAATCCAAAATTTTGCAGCTCAGGCCTGTTTCTTCAAATATCCAAAACTGAAGCTAAGAGTACAGTGCACGTCTCAACATGGATACTGATTGTGCAGCTGTGGCTTCTTAACCTTTAAAACTTTGACTCTTGATACAAAAGCAACTCTGAGGAGATGCCTCTAAATAAACTTAATGTTAGAAGTACCCACTGGGCTGTATTTCCAAGCTGGAAAGAATATTCCTTTCTCTGAATGTAAATATGTGGGCTCTTATTTTTGTGGCACCTTCTTGATTTGTTTTCCTTTTTCCAAAGCATTGCTTTAGGTTAGTTTTAGGTAAGTCTATTCATCCCATAGTAACCAAATATTGACAAAAATATTCCATCTCTATCAAGTCTGCCTGTTCATACGCCAGGATAAAGGTGTGTGTACAGTGTCACAAGGGCCACACTAAAGGTAGCAGCAAGAGAAAAAGCTTCACAAAATTACTCCTCCATTAGCAGCAAGGGGAAGTTTCTGATGTAACGGTCTAGACACACACAACATTATTAGCAAATATCACCTACTCACAGCTCTCATCATCATCCTGGTTGAAGCAGAGTTTTCACTTTTGCTAAGCAAACCACATGCAGTTTGTTAGGCCGCTTCTTACTACCCACGTAGCACAAATTTGAACTTCCATCACTCCTATCACTCACATATCAATGCAGCCTTAAAATCCAAGTACTTTAGCTTTGTATATTCCTTCTACTGCCTGAGTCCCCAGAAATTACCTCTGAGCAGCATTATGACTTTATTAATAATTATTCAGTCACAAATTATTCTGATCATTGATTTAACTGGTCTTATTATAAAAGAAAGACTGATCTCTGCCTTACAAGAGTCTTTCTTACTTGGTTCTACAGTGGGGAAACTTCATATATTCTGTGGCAGTCTGAGTCTACCAGGGCAGTACAACAGGGAATTCACCACACAGAGGGGGAGTTACTGCAGGACCATGGTATCCAAATCTTCTTTTGCTGTGGAGGCACTATATGGGGCATTGATGGAAAGAGAACATGTAAAAACATACCTGTATGTTTCATAACACAGACAAATTTAGGATAACCTTTACACTTCAGCTTCAGAAGGGTTTACGTACTAAACTATTATTGCCTGTACTTTGAGGTAACCTAGATTTATCTAGTTCTCTTGTCAAGAACTTAAACAACAAAACCTTCCCTTCAGGAGAGAGCTGCAATATGAGAACTCCTATTCTAAGAATCTTGTGCCCCCTGCCCCAGACAACTGATTAGCTCAGGGCAATTAAGCAAACACCAGATCCCACACATGGGTAGGTGTGCATGGACATCCCACTTTCCCTCCCCTCCACCTGCTTTTGCCCTCCTTTTGCAGTCTCAGGGTCCTGCTCTGTTGGACTGAGCCAACACTGTTCATTAAATTTATACGGTTGGAGGTTTTTGACAACTAATGCAATTAGCTAAATCCAGTGAATGCCTGGGCCAACACATGGCCTCCCAGCATAAGGTGAGGGAGGGATGGGGAGGACTGGAAATCACCACTTTTAGCAGTGGTGAACTATTAGGGAGGGCCAGTGTGTGCTGCAGAATATTGATGATCCTGGCTTTCTAAGGTCTAAGACCATTAATTACATTAAGCCAAGAAACTATTAGTGACATTTTTCACTCTGTGTTCATACTTCCATCCTGTAGTATTAAATAGTAATGGCAAAAAAATTTTTATTTCTTTTTGGTTTTAATATGATATAACAGCGTCAGCTCCTATCAAGAGTTTTTAAGCAGGGGGCAGATATTTGGTTTGATTTTTTTTTTTCCTTTGTGAGGCATGCCTACCTTCCTCTGTTTATTCAGAAAGATTCAAGAGTAAGGCTACAGGACAACAAAAGCAGGTGTCAGCTTCATAAAGCTGATGACTGATTTTTCCATTCGTACCATTAAACACTGTTTAATATTTCTATTAGCAACCTATGAACTAACCACATTCTACAAGCAACCTGAATTTCTCAGGAGTACAGATTTTCCGCCATTCATCCCAATGCCTTGTAATGTAGTTCTCATAACATTTCCCATGGAGTGGAGAAACACAGGAGAAAACACTGAGCAATATCAGTGGTTTTGTGATCAACAGAAATGTAGAAAGGAGCATATATTTCTGTGTGTAGAGAAAAGAAGACAGAAAATTTAAAAATAAAAGCAAAAGCCAGCCCAAACCTGTCAAATGGCCTAATGAGAAAGTAACAAAAAGCCACACTGAGGTATGTTTAGTTTCTATGCAGGAGATTCAGAAGAAGTTTGAAAGAAAATCTGAGAGATCCTAAAAATTATTTGTCAGTCTATGCTCAATACTGTACATGACAACCTCTGCTTTTAGATCAAATAAGTCTTCTCCGCTTAACTCAATTTTTATAAATAAGCTGAGTTGGTAAATGAAGCATTAAGGAACCCAGAAGGCCGAAATACTGCATAAAATTGATTTGATGCTCAGAAAATTGAAAGAGTTGCCTGGCTTTCATATGAGCTGCACTATGGATGCAGAATGCTTCTAGGTGTTCTACTTCACATATTCAGCCTAATTCCCATATCCTCTCTGCTTTTGGGGTGAAGTCCTGGCTCTGCTAAAGTTACTAGAAGTTTGGCTGCTGTCTGCAGTGGAGCAGAACATCCCTACTGGTGTGGCTTGCACTGTGACCTCCTGCTGGTGTGGTATTATTTATTCATCTCATCCAGGGAGGATGCAAAGACCTCTCTGTGGGTTCCCTCAATAAACTTGGCCACAGATAACACAATGACTATTTTTTTCCACCCACATACAATCTCCAGGATCCCAAATCTGAGCACAGTTTTGCCTTGAATTTCCAAGGACTGAAAGAACATGCTCTTGGTATGTCTCAAAGTCCTTCCATAGTCTCACGGTGAGACTTTGCATTCTAATTTGCAAGTTTGAGGTTTTATCAGACAAAAACCTGACCCGGCAGAGCATTGTGAAGAGCAGGAATCCCTATTTATGGAGTAGGAATTCTGAAGATGCCAAAGCTACACTGTAGCCTCTGTGTGTCACAGGCTCCCACAAGAGAACGGAGAAGCACATCTCCCACCCCATTCCAGACGTTCAGCAACACAACTGGGATAAGTGCAGTGCTTTGAATTTGGATGGAGAAGGCGGGGATTCAGAACGGGAAGACTGAAGGAGGATGAGAATCTACCAACAGCATCCTGGTGTTTACAACAGGTATTTGCAAGGCTAGAAACTTGCATGCCAAGTCAAACTCGTACTGGTCTACTTTATGCACTTGGGCAGATCAGTCTGACTTTCAGGGTCTTGATTTTCCTCATACAGAAATGACTTTACCTTGTTAAAATTAACATGAAACATTTACGCATAGTCAACACACATAATAGCAATAATGCAAGCATACAAACAAAAACATGGTGTGAAAGCTTGCCTATTTAGTTTAGTGAACAACAGTAAAGAGTTTGCAATCCTTATGTCCTGGCCTAATCAACCACTTCAGAATCAAAGACCCTCAATGCTCTCTTAGAGAACAGTATCTCTCAATCTTAATTAAACAAAACAAGCTGAAGACTTCTAGAATAGTATGAGGAGGAAATGCGAGGGAGTTGCTCTGAACACTCAGTAGCAGAACCAGCTGCTTAAAGCCTTCAGGAAAAGCAAGAGGAGACTGTTAATTTTTTAAACGGGATACAATAGCTCCTTTTTCAGGCATATCCAGGAAACGCCCAAAGCAAACAAACAAAAAAAAGTCATCAAGAAATCCCTTAGACTAGAGGAATGATAAGAAGATCTTCATAGATTAAATCATGCTTCTTGTCCCATTGGCCCATCTAGCAATAGCAGCTATCTCTGATGACAACAATATGGTTTGTACATACATCTTCAATTTCAAAAAATGAGCGAGTTTTTTTTCACGTTCACAGCCCAGAGCAAGGGTTATGGGTGTGAGGGTTATGCTCCTCAGACACACAGGTGGAACTTGGACTAAGAAGGCCTTTGATTAGTATTTCACCAGAAGTTAATAGCAATAATTTACTTCTACGGGGAAAAAAAAAAAAAAAAGAAAAAAAGCGCCACAATAATTAAAAAAAAAAACCAACACAAAACCTTTGACAACTTTGATGGTTTTTCCTTGAGCAAGAGGGAACACAGAACACAATATAAACAGCACTTTCATATACAGGGGTGACAAGAATATTTCTATAATAAAAGCTTGCTTCCTGAGCTCCTTAACACCTCAGGAACAGGGGGAATTAACTCACCGTAGGCGGGCGCCATAATATCACACCCACTTCCTACCATAACCTTCCTTTACACAAGTTTGAGAGAAACGGGACAGAAGAACAGGGTGGGGAGTTCCTAAAAGTGCTGACCGCTGGCATGAAATTGTAGAGTTAGATGCGGGAGGCAGGTAGCTGTCTGGTTCTGCCCGCTACCCCTCGGAAGGACAGGGAGCAGGCGGCAGGACCGCTCCCACCCAGCCCCGCGCAGGGACCCGCTGCCGCAGCGCTGTCGCGAGGGCCGGGCCAGGAGTCAAGGGCGGTCGCGGCGCCCTGGAGAAGCAGCTGCCCCCCTGGAGAAGCAGCTGCCCAGGCCGCAACCCACCGCCAGAGCCCGCCAAAATTCCAGCGGCCACGCCGCTCCCCGGGGCGGCACAAGCCCGCCCGGCCGCATGGGGAGCAGAGGGCAAGGATGCCCCTCTCCCGCCGCCCACGATATCCTGGACGGCAAGGAGTGAGGGAGAAAGGCGAAGGGCTCGGGAAGGGTCCCCACCGTGCTCCTCACGGCTTACCCAAGAGGGACGCGAAGCACAGGAGCCATGCCACCAGCCTCATCGCTGCCCGCCCGATCGGAAGTCAAAGGGAAAGGAGCTCACGCCCGCCTTGCTACAGGCGGCTCGTCCCGCCCTGCGCCCCGCTCCTCCCTCAGCGGGAGGAGGTTCTCTGCGAGTCTGACTAACCGGCTTCCTCTGGAAACTCCAGGCCCCTGTTAGGAAAGGGGATTTTAGACGTGGTGGCCGCCTCCGCTGTGCTCTGGTGGGTCGCGGCTGCCAGAGAGGGGCTTGGGGTGCTGGGTGATGCTGCGAAGGGGGTTTCTGGTTCATGGGGCACAAGTCCAGGAGAGAGTTTCTGTTATATTTCTGTCGACAGAAACTGTCTTGTTGCTCTTACAGAAGGGAGGAATCAGCTCTACTAATTGAAAAACTTAAATTAAATCAATTTAATGTGGAGTGAAAGCCCCACAGGTTAGGGGAAGAAGGAATTTCAGCAGGTAGCACGCAGCTCGCTGCCTCAGAAAATGATCACGGAATGGTGTGGGTCAGAAGGGACCTTAAAGATCATCCAGTTTCAACCCTTCTGCCATGGGCAGGGACACCTTCCACTCCTAGTATTCCCTGGAGTCTGGTGTTTGACACCTATGTTCCCAAAAACGTCCACTTCTCTCTTTGAGTGACACCTGCCAACATCTCGTTTTGAGGAGTGGGCTTGAGGCTAAGCCTGGCCATGCTCACCTCTTCCCCCCAAGGCAAGGTTGGTCTCTGTGGAGCTGCCCCTTCTGCCTGAGTGAAGCAAGAGAAATGTAATAGAAACTAACTGACTTCTAGGAGTTTCCTTTGACACCAGCTGCTCAGAAGCCCATTCACAAAACTAAAACACATTTAGATTCTGTTTCATGAGGATGACTGGCCTCTTGAGACTATGAAGTGTTTTTGAGGAAGAAAGGGAAAATATGCAACAGTTCGGGAAACATAAGTACTCAGCAGCTGCTGAAAAAATGCTACTCTGCAAAATACTCCAGTGGCAGCTGGAAGTTAGCTTTCCTCCCATGGCAGTGAGCTGCTGCAAGTGAATACTGCAACCTCCTTTGCCTGCATCCTGCTCACAATGCATTACCCTGGCTGAGGAGAGTCCAGCTGCAGACCTTACAGCCCCAAAGCATGCTCAGCTCCCAGGAGCTTGACTGCCTGTCTGGGAGGCACCAGCACAGCACTAGTGTCATCTAGGGATGCTCTCGCTGCAGGTTTTTCCCTCACTTGGCTCTCCCCAGTGCATGTGGCCCACACACTCACTGATGAGCAGCTGTGTTGGGCTATTCACCCCCACTTTGAGTGACCTCAGCTTTTTTCTTTACACAACAGATTCAGAAAAAAAAAATTGGCAGCCATGGAAATCTCTAACCAGAGGACCTTCCAAAATGAACACTGAATATGTTCCAACGCCAAGTGATTTTTTTTCCCCCTCGTTCTAGGAATCACTGTAAGCTCCCTTAACTCATCACTGAAGGCTGCAGCATGAGCTAGAATGACACTGCATCTGGGCTGAGCAATGCTGTCTCATTCAGTTCTTACAAAAATAGAATAATACTGACCCATTTTCCATAGCTATGTTAGAATGTCATGACACATAACTCACCAGTGGAGTCAGGCCCATCCTATAAATTCCTTTTGCTCAGTGATAGAAACCCACACCAAGCTTTTCTGTCTCTCTGTTCCCTTTACCCCTCTGTTCTCAATCTCTGTCAAGTGTTAAAGGGAACTCCCTACCCTGTAAAGTCACAGCATTTACATGTTACAGAAATGTAACATGGCCATCTTTCTGCAGTATCCTCATGGCAGGAGCACATGTTCTCTGTTGCTGACTAGTCCTCTTGTAAGGTAAAATGTCCTCCCAAAATGTCAGAGACTTTGGATTGAATCTTGTTGCTGGGAGGATGCTTGCACACTGCAGCTTGCCTGTAGGTTATGAAATCTTTGGGGTTAGGAGAGAAAAATCTGAAGCAGACAGGTGCTTTCACTTTGAAACAGGTTATTTTAGGGTGGAAGGAACCACGGGAGGTTCCTCACATGCACTTAAGGCAGGCCTAAGTTTTTCCTACTGAACTGCTCTGTGTTGTAGAGGATGATTAGGGCTTCACAGGGCAGAGAAGGTGAGAGAAACTTGAACCTGGTGGCTGGTGCCCTCATCTAGGCTCCTCTACCTTTGGGAAGCTACAGAAATACGTGGCAAGGATGTATTCTCCCTTCTTTTGCCAATTTATACAGTCATACCAGATAAAAGATCCATAAAGTACTCTAGAAAAGACACAGGAAAATGACTGGTTTTCCTCCTTTCCTGATTGAGTACCCTCAACTGAGTTTCCCTTCCTCAGTTGCCAAGATTATCTTTAATGTTTTCTTCCTGCTCTGTCATAGTTATAGTTATAACACTCTTCTGAAAGTCAGAAGTTTGAATTTCTTTTTGTTGAGGTGAGAACTAGACACAATTCCTCTCTCAATCCTGGGAACAATACACAGGAGCCTACACGCTTAACATAGAGCCATGATTCCTACTCCATGGAGAAAGGACAGAAAATACAGGAGATGTAAGACCAAGTATTCCAGCAGTAAAGGTGGATCCAGGCCTTAATGGATAGTGAGCTAAGCTCTGTGTGTATTTCACGCCCTCCCTCAAACGCAATGGCCCCAGGGAGAGGTTTTAAATAGTCATCATTTGTTTAACTCACACTTGGCTTCCCCCAAGGTTCCACACTGCTACCCCAACTGCATTGTTTCCAGTATCAAAAACCAGTTTTCCAGTCTAAGTGAATTTTCCTGCGATCAGATTTCTGCTTGACTACTGGGTATTTGCAGTGCTTATGTTCCTCTGCCAGTTGTTGTCTTGTGGGTGGGGAGACAACATTTTCAGCTGAGTTGGGCACTTTCAGCATTTGCTTGAATGTGCAGACAGCACAATTTTAATTTTTTTTAATTAAAAGAATTCGTGCATAGAATCATATTTGTTTGTTTTCATTATCCCTCATTCATTCTCAAGAGAATCACACTGTGCTTCATGATTGTACACTGTAATGGACTGTTAAAAGAAATCTAGAGTGGTTTGAAAGTCTTTGCAACAATGATCCTATTGCCATTATAATCACTCCCATTGGGAAGCAAAATAAGTGGCATTAAATTTCTGAATTAATATAACTGTAATTACTCAGTAATTAGGTTCACAAGCAATAAAAAGAAAACCCTTCATACCAAAAGAGTTTTCCTGGTAAGAGCATTTTAAGCACAGAGAAACTGAATGGCTTTTGCTGTTTGCATAAGGAACCACCACAGTGTGCCGATATAATTAAAAAAAATCCTGGAATTACTAAATCTGAGATCACAGAAAAAAACCTGCTTAGGAAACAGAATTTTCAATTTCATGAAGACATTTCCTTTTTAAAAACCACCAGTTTTGTGTATTTGTAGAGTTGTTAAATACCAGAATATTGTTTAACAGCTCTGTAAATACACAAAACTAAGCCAGAACTGCACATCTTGGCCACAGTTTTGTTTTACTCTAGGGCTGTAATACTGGTGCCTGCCTTTTATTATAAGGTATTTCAAAATTTCCATAGGACTTGGCAAAGAGTAATATTTGCATCCTGCTACAAAGAGTAGTGCTTATTGCCATAATTTTAAATTTAAAAAAAAATGGAAAGAAGGATTTGCTTGTTTTCTTTAGGTGCTCCAATTTGTTTTATTTTAAGAAATTTGTCATTTTCACAATTACACTGTTGCTCTGAAGGCCTGTATGGACATGTCGCTGCCTAATGGTATGATTTCACAAATTTCTTTCCTTCTTTCTTTAGAAAAATGGAATCAGATCAGTAGAATTTCTGGGTGTACTGAAAAAGGAGTGGGCCCATTGCAGTCCACATGCTTTTATCTTACAATCTGTGAATCAACTTGAGTCTAGTGCTGGGGATGGAGAGATGAAGAGTGGGCTGGAAGCCAGGCATTGGCTATTCGTATTGCAGCTTTCAATCCTGGAAAATTGATTGGGCTGGCAAACTCAATCACATAATTGTGATTGACAAAGGACACTTAGAACCTACTTCTCTGACAATAAGCCAGCTTGATCCTGGGGGCAAGTATTTCAGGATCAGAATGTACCTGTATATGTATCTCTAGGAGGATGCAGATAGGACAGGGCTTCAATATTCCTCCAGGCCAGGCAGCTGATGCTGCCTAACTTCACAGCGAACACTGAAGAAATTTATCTCAGGAGACTTGGAAATAACATTATCTTCTACTTAAAACAGTCCCAAAGCCTTCAGCTGGAGCAAACTGGGGTAAGGAAATTACTGCTATCACTAATAACTGTAAAGAAAAGTCATGTCAGATGCTTTTTGAAATGTCTTTGGCCATTCTTCTGATCAGACTGAAGCAATTTCTTCATTTTGTTGTTCAAATAAAGCCGTTGTAGAATAGTGCCTGGACAGGGAATGTTCCTTCGCTCATTACCCCTCCTGCCATTTAACACAATCAGGGGCAAAACTGCCTTGTTCAGCAAGATGGACCAACACACACTGATGAGACTTAAGAAACAGGTGTGTCCTTACCTGAAAATCCTTCACAGCCAGGGAGATGGTAACACCATATCATGAGTGTCATGTGACGGACTCCTGGTTACATGTTTGGTTGTGAACTTATGCTTCTCCATCTGTATACATCAAAGCAGTAAAGTTTATTATTCAAAGGTCTTTTTAAAGTGTGCACGTTTATGATACTGGTGCATTACTGAGGTCATCTTTTTATTTCCTTTAGTACCTGAAACGCAAACCAAAGGAAAAGTGAAGGTTGTCCCTGCCCTAAGAAATGTACAGTCTGGGCTTATTATGGCAATATGGCCACCAGTGACATTTTAGACCATCTTCCCCCTCACTTTTCAGAAGTAGTCCACTGCTTTGCCTTCTTTTGACTGTTATGGGTATGTGACCAAAAGTAGAAATACAGCAGAGAGACAGCAATGCAAAAGGAAAAAACACAGATGCAAGGCTAGTATGAATCTTCCTGGCATGGACTGACCGCAAAGCCGTCTGAAAAACCAGCGTCCCTAGTCAGAATTTGGCAGAAAAGTCTGACAAAGCACTGTAACTCTATCACTTGCTCGGACTG